CCCAACACCAAGATAAAGTGAAAGTAAACAGGAGCTTGGAAAATTACCCGTGTTCTTCCTCCGTGAGGCACATGAAGGGGGGGGAAGGGGGGCAGAAACTGTGTTCCATCCCCTTTCTTTTTGGCATTGCCAGGACTCACGGGGCTCCATAGCCCAGCTCCTAGGAGGTCTTCTCTATAGCGCCCTCTTAGAGCACAAACCGGTCATTGCTTTGTTGCTTATGGTTGCTCTCACTGGCATAGGCACCCGAAAAGGCTCTGTGGTCCACCTTAATTTTCATTTCCATGAGAAAGATAATTTATTCCTGAACTGAAATGAGACATTTAGTTTGTCCCACTCTATTCATCTCAGGCAGTTCCGTGCTTTTCCTGAGAGGAATCAGGCATGTCCTGTGGTGTTCTTCCAGCTTCCAGTTTAAATACTGTCAGTATTTTTCTATTGGGGGAATATAATTTTGAACAGCAGTGATAAGCTGCCCATAGAGAGGAGATAAGATTTCTGGTTCTTAAAAATGAAACAGAGGCTGAAGTAAGAAAGACATTACATGGTTAATACAAACTGCTGACTTCAGCGTGTGTCTCAATTTCTGTCATAACTGTTTCACCAGGCCACTTGGCATGCCCATTCCCTCTGGAGCGGAATGCTCTGTGGGTAGTGACATTTGACATGCAGGGTTTCAAAGGCAGGAGCCCAGGAAGGAAAAGGTTGGATAACTTAGAATGTGAGCTCCATGAGCAAAGGGAGTGGCTTTTTCATGGCTGTGTCCCAAGTGCAAAGAAGCAAGCCTGGCCCATGTGGAATGCTCAGTAAGTACCAGCTGCATAACGGGGAGGGGAAGTATTCTGCCTATTGGAACTAAGCTGTTCTCAGAGCCGCTTACCAATAACTGCCACATAACACTTTGAGGTGAGCATTTCTTCACTCAAAGGGGTTGGCACATTTAATTTTTTTTTTTTTTTTTTAGTAAACAACATGAATATAAGAATATATATATACATATAGGTGTATATATATTTCAAATTCAAATTTTTGTCTGTTTAATAAAGGGTTATTTTCTAAATATTAAACCACTGAAATATGAGACAAAGCATGTGTAGTTAGTTATGAGGAATATCATGCTGAGATGAATCAAATGGACTATGCCTTCAAGATGCTCAAGATGACTCTAATCTTACCTAATAATAGACAAACATGTAAATTGACAATACCTCCGCTATACCACTGACCAATCAGGAATTACATGCAAATTAACCCAACAAAGATGGTTAATTTGCATATACAGGCGCCAAGTGACAGGGGGAGGGGGCAGGACGCTTGTGTCATCACCATGGCGACAATGCAGGCGTTCTGCCCCACCCCCGTCTCTCAGGGCCTTTGGGGAGAGAGAAAGGTGGGGCCTGAGTGGAAAGGAGCTGGGCCAGCATGGAAAGGCAGTGCTGGCAGCCAGGGAAAGGAAAGCCCATTTTAGCATGAATCTTTGTGCTTTGGGCTTCTAGTCCTATACAAAAAAAGGCTAATATGCAAATTGACCGAACAGCAGAATAACCAGTTGCTATGACATGCACTGACCACCAGAAGGCAGACACTCAATGCAGGAGCTGCCCCTTGGTGGTCAGTGTGTTCCCCAGGGGGAGCACCACTCAACCAGAAGCCAGGCTCATGGATGGCGGGAGCCTCTCACGCCTCTGTGGCAGTTGGACATACCCCAAGGGCTCCTGGACTGTGAGAAGGCGCAGGCCAGGCTAAGGGACCCCTCTCCCCCCACCCCCCCCGCCCCCAGCGCACAAATTTCGTGCACTGGTCTTTTAGTTGGGAGATAAACTAAAGGCCCAGTCTCTTTTGCACATGCATTATAAAGAGAAACTATGGAGGAGAAAGGGGGCCAAGGAGCCTGAGTGCCAGGGAGGCCTCTGAGGACGGAAAGGACTATGTCAAATGCATCTCTGTGTGGCCTTGTTGCCTGGCAGAGTAGACAGATATTTGAGTGAATGAATGCATGAATGACTGAATGCATGAATGAATAGAATTCTTTCTCATAATTGAGCCCAAGTCCTTGAGTTTAAAATAAAGAAAAAATATAGTGTTTCAGCAGATCAAAGGAAGAAACCACGTCTAAATCAGGGTGGGTGGAAGAAATCAGGGGTCGTGAAAGAGATGGGAATGAAGATCAGCCTTTCAGGCCCAAGGAATACACTCAGTAAAAGGTCTGGAAGGGAGGGGAAAATGGAGAGCCATGGGGAAGCGTCAAGTAGCCAGATGCAGCTGCCACAAGGTGTGGTGGGAGGTGGGGGTGAAGGAGCTTGAGCACAGGCATGAGCGGGGCAGGCTGCTCAGAAGAGGGGTTTATTGTGTAGGCAAAGGAAAGTCCTGGTCAGGGAGATGAGTATTGGGAGCATTAACCAGCACTGATGGGAAGCTGGACAGAGAAGGATCTGACTGAAAAGGCGATGAGGCCACTTAACTTTTCCATTCCCAGTGGAAACAAAAGCTACAAGAGTCTTATTTAGGAGATGGCAGGATTAAAAACTTCCAGACTTGAAAAACTGGAATGGAAAAGACAGGTGGTTAATTAGACACAGGATTAGGGGTGGGAGTCTAGAAAGGAGGAAGAATAAATAATAACTTCAGGTCCAAGCCTAAGTGACTGCGGAAATGAAACTTCTAACAGGAATAAGTGGCAGGAACAGCCACTTTTATTGGGGATGGCGATGAGGGAGTGAGGTTGGATTTAAACAAGTCTTAGGTACAGAGAAGATTGCCAGTTGGAGATGTCCAGCAGGAAGTTGAAAACCTGATAGTGATTATGTAGCAGTTTGAGCAACAGATTAAAAAAAAATGATGTATGTATTTGAATAGGTTATACCACTGCCACTTTTGGCCAAGTGAAAATTAATTCTCCTTTTACTGCTGATTGCATATTTTCTCTCTCCAGAGGTAGCCACTGATTCTGTTTGAGAATGATTCTCAAGATATTCTGCATGTACATATCCCTAGGAGAGTTTGAATTTTTGTTTCTTAAAGGCTAGAGGAGATTGTCTTTGAGACAGAAGGAAAAGACCAAGAAGAGGTAGAGATTAAAGAAGCAATTAAAAAGGAATTACTGAAGCAAGGTCTTAGAGAAGGTAAGACAGGATAGATTCAGTGGTGGGCTAGGAAGGGCAGGCCAATGGCAATAGTAATTTCTATTTTATTTTACTTTTAAATATATTTTAATTGATTTCAGAGAGGAAGGGAGAGGGATAGAAGCATCATGATGAGAAGAGATTATTAATTGGCTGCCTCCGGCAAGTCCCCTATGGGGATTGAATTCACAATCCAAGCATGTGCCCTTGACCTGAATGGAACCTGGGACCCTTTAGTCCATAAGCCGACGCACTATCCACTGAGCCAAACCAGCCAGGGCTTGATTGCTATTTTATTAGTTGGGCTCTATCTGTATGGCAGAGATGCATGCAGAGGTAGATTGGGGGCTTTAGGAATATGGCAGAAAAGGTGTAAAATAGCCACTGTGGACACTAGAAAGTATCAGAACTGTCAGATCCAAAAATCAATTGAAAAAAGATTTATTTTGATGATTTATAAAAGAAATATCACCACTGCAAATTAAAGCTATTTACAAATTTAAAAATAAATTTACAGAAATTATTCACATATTACACATTAAGCAGTTTTATTAAAAATGTTCCAGATAGTGTTGAATAAACATATAACATAAACTAAGTTCTAAGTCACATAAAAGCCTTCAAAGTATCTTCAAAATCCATTGGAAGATGGCTCAGGATAAACTGGAAAAATATGATTTCAGGAAATCAGCAGAAAGATGATTTTCACCTTTACGTTATCACTGGTCTCAGGAGATGTGGTCTTTAAAAGTCACTTTAACCTTAAACTGCAATCAGGATCTTCCATTTGGACCAATAGCTGGTGCAGCTCATAGAACATAGGATTTGGAATTTATAGTCTGATCTACTCAAAGGTAGTTTTTTAAAAATATATTTTATTGATTTTACACGGAGAGGAATTGAGAGGGACAAAGAGTTAGAAATGTCGATGAGAGAGAAACATCAACCAGCTGCCTCTTGTACACCCCCCACTGGGGATGTGCCCGCAACCAACGTACATGCCCTTGACCGGAATTGAACCTGGGACCCTTCAGTCCGCAGGCCAACGCTCTATCCACTGAGCCAAACTGGTCCCGGCTCAAAGGTAGTTTTAATCAAGGATGGTATTTGTGGTTAATTGGGCATCAGGCTTTACTCTCGCAGGTTGCATGCCAATCAACATTCCTGGGAGGGAAAAGCTGGAGGATTCTTCAGAGCCACTGCGGCATCTCAGATCTCAATGCTCTGCCTCCTCGGGGCTTTATCTACACCTTAACAGCCCTGGGGAAGAACACCATCCAAGGACTTGGCCCTGAGCCTGGGCTTGGCTGCCGCCTCTGGTAGATGCTGGGCACTGTCCCTGACCCGAGGAAGGGACTGCTTGGCAGCTGCCAGGGCATGCTTCCCTCAGCCCAGCTGCCATTCTGAATTATAGAAAGGCTGGCAGCTCCATGAAAATGCTAAAGTTTGCAACCTAAGTGTCAGGGATTGCTGATGACAAATAACTTTTATGAAGAAAGTAGATAAAAATTGGTGTTTACCAAGACCTGAGATTTATTATCTAGTTTAATTAAGCAAGGGCATAGAAGAGTCCACTTTAGCTCATTCCTAAGTATGGCCCTTAAAATAAATAGAATTCCCCTACTTTATATTGCTGACTTGCAGCCAGGTATGTGACCCTGAAGTATGAATTCCAGCATACAGGTTGCTAATAATTAAAAATAGCTCATTTTACTAATCTGGCCACTAATGACATTTTATGATTACAAGCCTTAAAAATTTAATACATTTTTCTTCTTATATATATAGAATGCTTACATATTAAAATATCAAAGGCACTTTTAGGGTACATGATAAGCAAAAATACATGAGTAGAGACAGAGTTATTTATTGGTTCCTTCAGTGTCTGTGTCTATGGTGATCATCGAGGGCCCAGTTTTGCACTTCACCTTTACCGAAGAGTGTGAAGAAAATGGCACCAAATACATCAATAGCAGCAGCGATCCAGAAAACAGTTTGCCATTCCCTAATAGTGTTCTGTAGAGAAAGAAAGAACAAATGCACATGAAAATTTCTTGTTCACTTTATAAAAAAGATGGGGTCACAAGACCAACACAATAGTAACATTATTCATAAAAGAAACAACTTTAATGTCCATCAGCAGTGAGATTGTGATATATGTATTTGTTCTATGAAATACTATCCAGCAATGAGAATAAATGAGCTACAACACAGATACATCTAACAAATAAAATGCTAAGCACAAGCCGAAACCGGTTTCGCTCAGTGGATAGAGCATCGGCCTGCGGACTGAAAGGTACGGGTTCAATTCCGGTTAAGGGCATGAACCTCGGTTGCGGGCACATCCCCAGTAGGGGGTGTGCAAGAGGCAGCTAATCGATGTTTCTCTCTCATCGATGTTTTTAACTCTCTATCCCTCTCTGTAAAAAAAAAATCAATAAAATATATTTTTAAAAAAATGCTAAGCACAAGAAGCCAGACACGCCCAACTGCTGTGGCTCAGTGGTTGAGCATCTACCTATGAACCATGAAGTCATAGTTCCATTCCCTGTCAGGGCACATGCCTGGGTTGTAGGCTGGATCCCCAGTCAGGGGTATGCAGGAGGCAGCCAATCAGTGATCCTCTCATCACTGATGTTTATCTCTCTCTCTCTCTCTCTCTCTCTCTCTCTCTCTCTCTCTCTCTCTCTCTCTCTCTCTCTCTCTCTTCTCTCTCTCCCTCCCTCCACCTCCTCCACCTCCTTCCTCTCTGAAATCAATACAAATATATTTTTTTAAAAAGGCGAGAATAAAGCTCAAAGTCAGATAAAACTAATCTTCGATGTTAAAAGTCAGGATAGCGGGTGCTCTTGGTGGCGGGGGCCCCTGGGGGCTTTGCAAGAGAGGTAATGTACTGTTTGGGTGCTGGTTACACCGCTCTACTTTGTATACTTAGGGTTTGTGCATTTTAAAAATACGTGCTATACTTCAATAAAATGTTCACTAGAGATGTATGGCATGTACTTGAGTCATACATTACTAGGCAAGTATTATATCTGCATATCATCTCCCAAGTTCTTAGGTGGGAAGGTCAGAAGCAGACCAAGTAAAGATGAATTAATAGCCTTCAAGTTTGAGGCCTGGCCTGAAAGATTCTGCATGGCTCTTGAATGGCACACAAAACAGGACATGCACTGGATTTGTCAGTAAGAGATAAAAAAAATACAATTGTTCAATGTACAATCACTGGTATAAAAACATCTGGCAGTCATCTAAATTTATGGGTCATGTGACTAACTTTAACAATCATTTTTTGGATTTTTATAATTTCAGCCTTACTAGACTGCAACATTTGCAACACTAACTACACATACACACACACACACCAGTAGAATTGGCAATGAGAAAAAGAAAAGTCAGTAGAAAGTTAGCATGAGGTCATTTACTGAAGAAAAAAAGGAAAAAAAGAAAAAACCTGAAAAAAGGAAAAACCTAAAGAAAGGAGCACTGTGTGGTTAAGTTACACTTATCTGAGATGAATGTTTTGATAAAAAAAAAAAATCTTAGAGATCCATCATAAATTTTAGATATTTAGATATGCCAACAGTGTGTTGACACCCTAGAGGAGGAGTCAGTTACTAATTACATTGTATGCCAGAAAGAAATGTTTAAGATATCTTCTTAGGATTCCTAAGACAAAGCCTCTCTGTGTCATTAATGGGATAAAATAACACTTTAGTGTTATTTGGAGGAAATGAGTGGCTTAAAAGCAATCAATTGTACCAGAAATTTCACATAGCTCCTAGTTGGCTTTTTAACAACAATTTCACCAGTTTTTAGAAAATGCTGTTTGTAATAAAAATGAATCTTAGTCAAGCCGGTGTGGCTCAGCAGTTGAGTGTTGCCCCCAACTGCCTTCCCTTGTTGCCCATCTTGTGTCCACATGGGGGCGGCTATCTTGTGTGTTGGAGTGATGGTCAATTTGCATATTACATCTATTATAGAGGATTATTTCCTTACCTCAGGGGTCAGACTTTTAGCAATGACAGGCCCAACCATTCCTGGGATAGTGGCAAATGTATTTGTGATGCCCAGCAGGATCCCAGCATACCTGCAGGAAAATTTTCATAGAGGTTTATATTGTGTCACACACTTAAGTAACTTTTTTCAATAGATACCTATACCACTCCCAGGCTGTATTCTTATGAAACTTTAAATTAAATGCCTTACTGGAACAGGACATTACTGAAATGTTTAGCTGGTGAAAACTTGCATCTTAATAGTTAATTACCATTCTAACATTATTTAAACATGGCCATTGAAATAAATCCTGTTTATAGTGATACAGAAAAGAACTGAGAGATGATTTTTATCATGAGCCTATCTAAATAGGAAGCTTGATATGTCTTACATTTTTTAAGTTAAAAAAGTTATTTCCTGATCACACAATTTATTTCATTGTTGAAAATAAACAAACAAAAAAATTAATAAAAAAATAAAGTTATCTATAATCCCTTCTATATATAATCAACATGAACATTTTGGTAAATATCCTAATTATTTTTTTATTATATATTTCTAATATATTATTTATTTTAAAAAATATATATTTTATTGATTTTTTACAGAGAGGAAGGGAGAGAGATTGAGAGTTAGAAATATCGATGAGAGAGAATCATCGATCAGCTGCCTGTTGCACACCCCCTACTGGGGATATGCCCGCAACCAAGGTACATGCCCTTGACCGGAATCAAACCCGGGACCTTTCAGTCCCCAAGCCGACGCTCTATCCATTGAGCCAAACCGGTTTCGGCTCTAATGTTGTTATAGAAATGAGATCGTAATGAACATCAATTTTACATCTTACTTGCTCCACTTATTATGTATCTATTTATACTGAAATCCTTTCATACTGTCCCAGAAGTAGACAAGTTGGGTCCACAGTGTGTGTGTGTGATAGAAAATGCATTTTTAACAAGCTCAGAAAAAGTTATGATTCATTTTAAAGGTAAATCTTAGGGGAGTGGGATATTATCTATCTTATGCAAATCCTTAAAAGAATTCCTGCCTGTGTTTGGGAAATGCTAATGAACTGTTGATTTCTCCAGTACATAAAGTATGCATATAGACTAAACAAGGCTACCATAGCCAATATCTAGGTTACTGTCCTAACTAGGTTACTGTCCTAAGAAGAATGAAATGCTTATCATTTTCTAAAAGAAATCATAGAGCTGATAATCAGGAAACCTAAAAATTCCTACCTAGTTCCACTGTTAACCATCTATGTGACCTTGGACACGTTAGTGATAAATCACGTCCCTTGTCACTGATGGGTTCACAGATATGTATAAATATCTTGTGGTCCCACCTGAACTCCCCCACATGCCACCACGTATATGAAAAAAAAAATTTAAGTATAATATACATATGGAAATGTGTAAAAATCATATAGAGCTTGATAAAAATTTAAAAAAATATATAACTGCCCTCCCCTGCTGGCCATCTTGTGTCCACATATGGGTGACCAAGATGGCCGGCAGGGGAGGGCAGTTGTGGCCGGAGGGTTTTTATTGTATTTATCTTTTAAATTTATCTTTATTGTTGAAAGTATTATAGATGTCCATGGTATTAGGTTCTACAGCAGTGGTTCACAGGTTGAGAATCGCTAGCAGGGTCACCTAAGACCATGGGAAGACACAGATATTTACATCACGATTCATAACAGTAGCAAAATTAAAATTACAGCTATGAAAAAAAAATAAAAAAATAAAAAATAAAATTACAGCTATGAAGTAGCAACGAAAATAATTTTATGGTTTGGGGTCACCACAACATGAGGAACTGTATTAAAGGGTCACGGCATTAGAAAGGTTGAGAACCACTGCTGTAGATAGTCCTACTTTTTGGATTTTGTAGATTGCTTCCCTAAGGTATCACTTAACATAATATTATGTCCTCTGTATTTCCTGTACATTGGTAGTATCTAGACTAGAGGGTTAATTAGATTTGGGTCTGATATTTTTAGCAAAAAAACTTAAAGGTGGCAGTATAGTTAAAAATGAGTTAACCAGCCCAGCTGGTGTTGCTCAGTGGTTGAGCATCGACCTATGTACCAGGAGGTCATGGTTTAATTCCCGGTCAGGGCACATGTCAGAGTTGTGGGCTTCATCCCCATTGGGGGCGGGGGCGGAGGGGTGCAGGAAGCATCAATAATTTTCATTATTGATGCTTCTATTTCTCTCTACTTCTCCCTTCCTCTCTGAATTCAAAAAAGGTTTTTTTTTTTTAAAAGAAAAATTAATCAAATAAATGGCATTTATTTGCCAAAAAAACAACCTACATATAGGAAAAGTCCAATTAAAGCTCTTAATTTTTATGATATTCAAGATTATTATAAAATATAATTCCAGTCAAATTAAGGAAGCTTGATGATTATTAGTATGTATAATCTTTAAAAATATATTTTATTAATTGATTGATTTGAGAGAAAAAGGGAGAGAGAAAGACATATCAACTTATTGTTCCCCTTATTGATGCATTCATTGGGTGATTCTTATATATGCCCTGACCAGAGATAGAACCTACAATCTTGATATTGGGAGGATGCTCTAAGCAACTGAGCTTCCCAGCCAGGGCTAGTCTATATAACCTTAAAGTGGCATAATACTATCTCTATTAGGATTTAGGATCCTCAATACATCAGCTGTAGACTACTGATCTAAAATTCCTCTCCTCTTTTTATTTAAAAATTTTTGGTTAATCCTCACCTGAGGATATTTTTCCCACTACTTTTATTTTTAAAAATATTTTAAAATTCATTTAGAGAGGAAGAGTTAGTAAAATCAATGATGATAGAGAATCATTGATTGGCGGACTCCTGCACAGGCCTTACTGGAGATAAAGCCAGCAACCCAGGCATGTGCCCCTTATCAGAATCGAACCTGGATCCTTCAGTCCACAGGCCGATGCTCTATCCACTGAGCCAAACCAAGTAAGGTCCATTGATTTTTAGAGAGAATGGAAAGGAGAGAGGAGAGAGGAGAGAGGAGGGAGAGAGAGAGAGAGAGAGAGAGAGAGAGAGAGAGAGAGAGAGAGAGAGAGAGAGAGAGAGAGAGAGAGAGAGAAAGAAAGAAATCGATGTGAGAGAGACACATTGATTAGTTGTATCCAACACTTCCCCAGATGAAGAGGAAGAAGTCTTATAAGAATAGGAAGAGAGAGAGATGCTCTCTTGCTCTTTGTTGAGGAAGTATAGAGGAAAGACCATGTGAAGACACAGGGAGAAGGAGATTGTCGGCAAGTCAGGAAGAGACCTCACCAGAACAAGGATCATGATCTCAGACTCCAGCTTCTAGAAGTATGAAAAAATAAATTCCTGTTTTTAAGCTACCTAGTCTATTTTGTATGGCTGCCTGAGCTGATTAATACAGTGCCTGAATAAAAAAAAAATCCTGAACCTAATTCAGTTATCTATGAACATCATAAATTTTTATATTCAAAACTCATGCATACAGAATACAATAACAAAACCATGTAGCACACACTTTTTTGGCTGATGCCCGTTAGGGAGTGTATCTTAAATTAACCAAGCTTGGCAGCACCTGTATTTTTTTTTAAACCCATTAACACCTTGGCAGTATGAGGAACTGACAGCAATGCTGCCAGATCTTTTCAGTGACAGATATTAAGTGCAGATGAACGTTGTGAAATTCTAAATGTCAGCACCAAGAAGCTCATTCAAGTATTTATATTACACTCGACCAGGCAGGGCCATGAAAGATTGATGACTGCTTGGAAAAAACGTGGTGCAAGGACTCAGTCTGGATTTTGTGCTATTGAAGTACTAGAATTCTGTGGCATTAGTAGTTAAAAACTTACCCAATTCCCTTGAATCTGGGCAACAAAGCCATCCATAGAAAAATCCCTATTTCAGTCTATATAAGAAAAGGCTTCAAAAATACCATGTGTATATTTATATGTCAATAGGAACACTGTTTATTGAAAAAACTATGTCAGTCATGGTTCTAAATTTATATCTGTTTGTGTACACACACACACACACACACACGCACACACACCCTCATTTGAATAGCAAACTCAATTCCATGAGGAGGATTATTTTCATTCTATATATGAAGAAAGACTACTTAATATGCCATTCAATTTATCTGATTCTAAATCAGTACTTAATATTTTAATGTTATAATTTCTAATGCTGACTTGTTAAAAACGTAGCCATTACTGAGTTCAATCTGTAAGAAAGACCAATTTTCCCATCCTTAAGTTTTCACAAGCCTCAGTGCTGAATGCTTATTGGTCAGTGGTTCTCAAGGGTTGCTCCAGTCTGCAGTGTTATCCACTGTGTGGGCATTCAGTGCTTACCAAGACAAAAAGCAACTGTGCAACAACATGGTCATAAGACACACGGAATGCCCAGCTAACCAAGACACAGGGAACTAGAAGCAGCTAGTATGCTTTGAACAAAGAAATTCTAGTAGGAAAACCAAAAGCTCATCTGAAGAGTTGAATCAAAATGCAAGGGAGAGAAATAATTTTGCCTTTGATAAGATTAATTTACAATTGTACAGCTGCATAATTTTAAAAGTTACATATGTTGTTCACATATGTACATATGTTGATCACAGCCATAAGTCTGGTGCCTCCATCAGCTTAGAGCACATACAACTTTCTTCCTTACCTGAGGTCTACAGGCTCTTACCATTCTTCTAACTTCTAGGACTATTTGCTGACACGATTCTTGTCACTAAATGGTTTAGTGTTGCAGATATAAAGATAAATGTCTTTTCTGAACTTATAAAACCCACAAAATGTTAGGGCTAGACCAGGATCTTTAAGATGTAGAGTTGGCCTAATCAGTGTGGGTCAGTGATTGAGCATCGACTATGACCCAGGATGTCATGGATAGATTTCCGGTCAGGGGCATATGCCCAGTTGCAGGCTCCATCCCAGTGTGGGGCATGCAGGAGGTAGCCAATCAGTGATTTTCTCTCTTCATTGATGTTTCTATCTCTCTCTTCCTCTTTGAAATCAATAAAAATATGTATTAAAAAAAAAAGATGTGGAGTTCAACCACTTGGTTAATGCTTGGAG